AATATATCGACGAAATCAAAAGAGAACGTATATGAATGTATTTAAATAGAAATAAGGAAATTTGCTTCCCATCGTAATTTCTGTGATGTGTTCTGTGCTGACATAAAGTGTAATACAAGTATTAAACACATAATTGACAAAACAATTACACCTACAGTTACGCACAACATTCTACAGTATTTAATGTGAAGGGGAATTTATGATGATCATGGTGGAAAAGAAACATTAAGAAAATAATGCTATCAGTTTAAATTTGAAAAGGTACGATACGTTATGGATAACAATTTCTTTATTATATCAGCATGGGTTCCTATGTCTTTGTAATTATTGCCAACATCCATTGTTGTTGTTGTTGCTGTTGTTGTTGTTGTTAATATAATCCCTTTGTTACATACCCTCATGCTGTCATGTTGTCTCCCTCTCAGATGTATATACGAAGGTTCTGTGCTGTATTACTTTACTCTTGATTGACAACGGTATAAGAATCTATACCGAAACGTCGCATCATAATACAATAAAGAAGCTGTTATCCATAAAGTATCATACCTTTTATATTATTCACCTACTAAAATATCAATCAAACAGATCAGTTTATATTTAAATGTTTTCTCATGTTTGCGACAATCGTGAAACATGGAAGCTATTGTTAGAGCGCTGAGACTCGTTGAATCTGCTACCTGGAACGGTTATATTGTTCTCACCTCTATGCTAACCGTAGACAATTGTAGACTCACCAGAGCTCCGATATTGGAAACTATAATGGTAAATTAACATGCGCACATTATTCTAAAATGTACCATTAGCGAACATTTAGTACTGGATCACTGGGATGTTGAAACAAAACACACTGGTTTCGAAAGGCACCAAACCAAAGATCTCAGTTTACCTTATATATCCTAGACGTTATAGAATAATTCGCAAAAAAAACAATTTAAGTATTTTTAATTAGAACATCTTACTTCAGGATATGCGGAAATATTGAATGTAAAACAGTATTGATTATTTCACGAGACAGATTCCTTTGGCCGTAAAAGGCAAACAGGTGATGACAATTATGTGAATGGATCACTATTTGTGAGACCAGGTGTTCCCCAATAGAGTAGGTATGTACTGCTCTAAAAGTAACACCCGCCATTCACAAAATTGTCCACAAAAGTAAATGTTTTGTAGCCGAATTCTTCAGAGAGGCACATATTCACAGATCAAGATAATTCCCACCAGTCGTCTTTTGCATTGTAGACCGATGAATTTCCGTAATTTATAATATATAGTTTTATACCAAACCTATAAAGGGAAGTACCTATTGTTTAGACCCCGGAGGCCAGAAATCATAACTCTTTTGAAAATAACTGCTACATAATAATAATCGGCAATGAGGGATCGTTCAATTCGGATGATTAACAGATGGGGTTGATGGAGTGTGACAATCCGCGCGTAGTGTTTTTATCACCACATTGTTTTCTTTAATGTTTCATGAATGACATATTCTTGTCCCTGTTCACGTTTGGCTAAAAGGTTTCCACAAATAACATATGTTATATACTTACCCTCAGCTATCTCAGGACACTACACAATCAAATTAAAGTGTTGTAGTTATGAATTATATTACGTTTAGTGACATTGGTTATTATTATACTTGATTTACTTGCGACAGCACTGATGTGCAACGATTTACAGTTTTGTAAACCACCCTGTCATTTGTATTGGTGTAACACTGAGATTATCTGATAGCATGGATGGGAAATCAACTCTACAAAGTACTAGATGCATTGGGATTCATTAAGATACGTTGGTTGATCTTATGCATCTTTTAATAGAAGCGTTGGTTCACATATTTTCCTTTGTATTCGAAATTGCGCTTTCAAAAGATGGATAACAGATTATAGTTCGACAATGATATTTCATTCCAGGTTTTCAGTCTAATCCTTTATATTGCGAAGAAGATTCAGATATATTTCCGCATTGTGAAACGGATTCGCAAATGTTGCTGTAATGGCAATGTTGTAACCAAGGTGCCACCCCCGCTGACTGTTACTCCCTACGAGGTATCATGGCATATTTTGAAACCAAAATATCTAATGACATTCTCGTTCCAAAACAAATAACGTGAGTCTTTGCGAGAGTGACAAGGACATCAACAAGAGGGCGCCATCAACCATATATCACCATCTTCAAGTGCCACCATGTTAGCAGACCTCCGTGCGCTAATGGACAGGCGCCATTTTGGAATGCCTTATCGTGGGCCAACGTACATAAAAATGTTTAAAATGACTCTTGATGTCGAATGAGGTTTATTGCGGTAATAAATCAGGCAGATTTATTGAAGGCAGGGCGTTTGAATCCGCCATAAGTAGCCCGTAAATAATGACAAATTTCCGCCGTTTCTATGAGTGTGTTTGCATATCCTAGTCTCGATGTTGCAATGAATTCCAAGGATCGCCTGTTCCCTGTTTCGTCCCAGGAACGTACACAAACGCACATACTCAACCTACCCACATTCAGACAGGGTTGTTGACTTACTAGCGAAATCAACATGGGAACAATCTCAAAGCAAATATACCACAGCAAATAATCAACCTGTTGTATCAGGATTCAACACTACATTGTGTTTTCATTGGATAAGAACTGCTTACATGATGTGAACAACGTCGCTTAATGAAACGGAAACTACCTCTCTACCAATATTTGTGTATCCTTGGATGTAAAATGATCTAAAAATTATTATTATAGAGTATACATCGCATAGACTGCCAACCGATGTGATATCCAGTTTCAGTCCTTGTTTCAACTGAAGATTCCATCCACACAGGAGTAATATCCAGCTTCAACCTCCAATGATGAATGTAATCCAACCTAACACAATGAGCTGGCACCGCCTTGGGAACAATGTATCCTCGTAGCAGTCTGTAACAGAATTTGTTCCACAGACACATTTCCAGAAGTTCTATCCTGACCGTACCTATCACTCTGCGCCCAACGTTCAAGTGAGGAGGAGAATAGTATTGTCCTTATATATTCTCACAATAAAATACTGATCCGTCTGAAGTTTGTTTATTACAGTATAGGCGATGTATTTCATTGAGTAAAATCTAAATTTGCTGACAGAATGTAAATATACTAAGCACCCAGCCCGGCAATAGCTGTAATAAACGGATTGGTGGCATCGCCACTACAGAGCTCAGAGCTTGATTTACAGGGTTATACCACCACAAAAGTGTCGGCTTCATATAAACCAAGTAAATTACTAGCTCAATTTCGACGCGATTTCCAACGTTTACATTTGTTTACTATCCTATTTTTATGGCCCAATTAATTCAATGTTCATGGTGGCATATACACCATAAGATCAGAGCGGCTTGGCAAGTAATTAGGCAGCGCTTGTAAATTTGCCTATGCGCTAGAAACTTCAAAGCTTTAGCTGCTTTGTTTGGTTTTCAGTTATACCACTACCTTATCGAGGTCGTGTTTCTATTATGGAACGATTCATTTCGGTAAAGGACATTGCAGCACGTTTGGCAAATATGTTTTTTTTCTTCCACAAATTGCATAAATTTTAGCACCATTGTATAAATACGCGAAACAAAACCGATCGTCACTGATAAAGATGGACTACTGATACATGCCGAGATCTCAATCATTTATTGCAGCCAACATAACCTCTATTGTGTTACAGGCCTTTCATGGTGTTACTTTTGGAAATTACGTACGTTATAAAAAAGTAGACACAGATTGCTTGGTGGAACTTTATTCTCCTCGTGATGAGTGCTGGGTAACGCTAATAATGTGACAACCCGGGGCAGAATAGATCCTCAGCACTCCATTGCTGGTCGTACAAGACCGAATTAGGAAATCTGTTTGCCCAGGACGGGATCCTGGTGGTTGAGGACTCTGGTTCCAGGAATAGCGTTCCTTTGCCCAACACACCACTTCGACCCTTACTTCACCCAGACGGGTGGTAGAATGGGTTCGGTTCTATCAGTCGGCTGGTCAGTATAGTATGACTGTGCTATTAAAGCTGGATACTGTAATACCAGCGTGGAGATTTATGTACCAAATCTACTCCGGTGTTACAAAATGAAACAGGTTGGGACATGGTGCAAGGTCTTGTACTGGCAAGTCTGTATGCTCACGCTGCAGTGGAGTTCATGAGAGTACCAATTGTACTGATGATATCAAGTGCGCCAACTGCAGTGGTTGGCATCTGGCTTCGTCAAAATCCTGCCCCAAAGTCTAGAAACTAGTTAATGCACAGTCTCAACCTTCTACCGGCCTGGCATATTCAGGTACAGTTTCTTCTTCTGCTCCGACATCTGTTGCAATCTACATCAGTTTCGACTTCCTCTCAACGCAATTCAGACAATAGTCCAATATCACAAGATTGTCAACGTGCATCAGCCTCCCAGACTCCAATACAACCAGACGACATAAATTCAACTCAGACAACAGTGTTGCCCATCTTTCCAATAAAGGAAACCTGAGCTCTTCAACATTTCAAGCCTTCTTCTTTGACACCTCCTGTGACGGTTCAAAATATATTTGAGCGACTTGACATGGAGATCACCCTTCACACCCTGGTGTTTTAGGTGTCTTTCGAACATCTGTTAATAGCCTTTATGCAGGGGCAAATGCGCCTTCTTTAAAACAGCACCGCATTAAATTATCTCTTCAGCACATTACTAAATTACGTTTCGATTCTTCAGCCGTGCTTATGTCTCTGTTTTAAGCCCCTCTATGAAGAACATATTCATAAGAAACCCATAAGTTCCCCCCCTCTTGGGATTCACTTTAAACCTCATATTTCGGCTGCAAATATTGATTTGGACATAATCGCTCCACATCGGCTTTTGTCTATTCCTCTCTGGCAATTGGTAAGACCAGAAGTAGACCTTTCACTAACAGCATTTAAAAAGTATGATACAAACCAATCAATATATCAGCAGGAATACCTACAATTACGAAGTAAATACAATTCTCACCGTTCAATGTTTACCGAACACACACTCTTCTGATCTGGCAACCGTTGCACCATAGGCCCGAATGAAAATGAAAAAAACAAATAAGGTACTGGAAGTATCCATGTTCCCAAAAGGCTTCATTTTAACACGGGCGGTGGGGTAGCCTAGTGGTTAAAGCGTTGGCTCGTCACGCAGAAGACCCGGGTTCGTTTCCCCACATGGGCACAATGTGTTAAGCCTATTTCTGGTGTCCCCCGACGTGATATTGCTGGAATATTGCTGAAAGTGGCGTAAAACTAAACTCACTCAGTCAGTCAGTCATTTTAACACAGGTTCCGTTTTCCTCACCATACAGTGTGGTGATGTATCATAACCTACAGACAACAACTACACCGACAATAATGCTAATTGTTTCACGACCTAATTTCTCTATTCTTTCAAATTAGCAAAACGTTACATTGGCCTTGGCGTGATTTCAACGCCTTCTCATCTGGAGTCAGACTCGCTACCGTTGCGTTAACGTTTATCATGGTTTTTTAAAGAAATATAAACGTCATTCACAGAAACATAATTATGCAGACGCGGACAATATTGCTGAGTACGGCGTAAAACTAAACTCACTCACTCAGTGTTGCACTACCAACCCAAACATTCACCGGGTATCACGGGGTTTGGTGGGAAGTGATTAACAGGTGAATGACGGGTGGTAGATCGTCCTTTACATTTCAGCGTCACGGTATATGTGTAATGATACAAAACAGTAAATGTAAGCAGAAGAACGATTTCTGAAGTTAAATTGAGTTATAGAATAGTTTCATCAAATGGAATAAAGAGTGCAATGTCGCGTCCATCTCGTGCCATTGTTCATTATATATTTCTGAATAAAGGTTTGTATTTGATCTATTTTTAATAATTAAACAAAGATTTATTAAAAAATCGACAGCTTTCACTCTCCTATTAAATAGGGAAAGGCGATAAATTGACAATACAATGTCCATGGAGAGTTTACATGATAACTTCTTTTCTGGAAAGACCCCAAACATTAACAATGGGGCTAGCTGTCCAAGGCTGGACCCGAGTTTTGACATAATCCGTAACCATATCAAGTAACATGGAATGCAAGGAAGATAACTCTTTGCAAAAGTAAACAAAAGGAAAATATATTTTGTTTCAATTTGACACACTGGACACGCATCAGTGTTTGACACTCCAGATTTAAACAGTTTATCATATATACAGACAGTATATTGTCAGGTATGTTTAAAATCCAACTGTACAGAATCTGTTGATTTATCGTTTGCCATACATTCAAATATCCTCCCCATTAACGTCTGAAGCAATGGTATTTTAAAAGAAAATGGCAACTGGTTCCTTATAATTCTTTTCTAAAATGCTGTAACTGAAACCCCGATTGGCACGTCATGTTCATCATCGTCGATGGAAGATGTGTGCAACATCAGATAAAATTATTCTTTTCCACTCTGGTGAAAGCGCATATAAAATGATCCCATAACATTGTTGGATGACACAAATGTCCACCTCGGGTAAAGTGTTATTGGCTGTTTTAACAATAATTTGTGACTTCAAAACAAATGGGATTGATACAAATGACCGATTTAAATAGACGATTGGAACATAAGCCTTTTTTCCATCCAAAGTATCTAGTGGATTTTTAAATATTCTGGTTGATTCATAATGCCATCTATATTTTGAACTAATGGATTTTTTCTTTCATTAATTTCATTCCATGCTTGTAAAAGCTAAGCATAAATCAAACAACAATGCAAGCACTTTAGTGATGAATGGCTATGTTGGCAGTTTTATTGTGCCACAAAAAAATTACTAAACATTTGAGTAAATTTATTCTCAACCCAATGAGGAACAAGTAGTACAGTGAACATATACCACAAACAAGCGTTCATAAGAGTATTTAATTACAATGCCTCTGTCGTGTAAAATAAGTTGACGACGAAGCCAGGCATTTAAAGTGCTTGCATTTACACAGGGTTCTCTTGTATTAACAATTCTGAAATAAGAACAAACAGCACTGAGTTCATCGAATCTCCCTGCCATAGTCCGTGACAGACGGTTGGAAATATGGACTTAAATGCCCATTACACATGACAGAACAGAATTATTGCCAAAATTGAATTTGTGTAAAACATCTAACATGTAATTCTGTAATTCTCTGTCAAAGGCTTTCTCTTGATCTATTTTAATAAAACAAAAATACCCTCATCTTCACGATCTACGATATCAGCAACATCTCTCAAAGAATGTACACTGTGTGCAATGTCTCTCCCTGTAACACAACATTTTTGTTCAGGGGAAACCATATCCAATATTACATACTTGCGTCTATATGACAATGCTCGTGATAATACTTTACAATCTACATTGTTTAGTGAAGTAGGTCTGTAACACTTTAAATCTGTTTTATCACCTTCCTTTTTGTAGAATAAACCAGTGACACGTGCTTTCATGGAACGAGATAATTCCATCTCTTCAAAAATACTCCAAGTGACATAATGAAAAAGAGGCCATAAAATCTCCCAAAAACGTAAGGTAGAATTCAACAGTCAGACCATCAGGACCTGGAGTTTTGTTTCGTTTCATTCCTTTCAGTGCATCTGCCAGTTCTTGAGAAAAGGGGAGATCACAATAATCCTCTTGTTCTTCATTAATTGATTTCTATATCATAATTACAACTACCTGTTACTTACCCGAAATCCTTCATCTGTATATAAACTATGAAAACTTTTAAAATTGATATTTCAAGTTAAGTACCAGTTAAGTACTTCTGATTCAAAAGGTGATAAGGCAGAGAACTAAAATGTACTTAAAGTACAAATATATGCCCCATGCTCTACATCGCCTTCATTTTTAACACATCATCTTCTGTTTTATGGGTACAATGTGTTAAGCCCATTTCTGGTGTTCCCCGCCGTGATATTGCTGGAATATTGCTAAAAGCGGCGTAAAACCAAACTCACTCACTCACTCACTCACTCTTCTGTTTTAATCTGAATTCTTCCTAGTCTTACATCTTACAGACAGAAATACGCTGACAACTCGACAACACAATCCACTTTTTCAAGAGATATTTCATTTCTTATTCAAAATAGCAAAACGTTTAACTGACCCTGACGTGATTCGAACACGCAACCTCTTCATCTGGAGTCAAACGCGCTATCGTTGCGCCAGAGGGCCGAAGGACTATAAGGTAATTTAAGTACAATTATTAAAATTCTTTCTTGTTCTTGAATTCTTTCGTTTTCTGTACATGTGTGACTTAATATAGTGTAGGTACTTACGAAGACCAGACACTGGCTACGGTGTTAATCTCTATGTGTTTCTGTCTTATAAACAGACCTGAAACGCGTGTATAGGGAATAAGTAATAGATTCAGGATAATCATAAATACCATTTCAGTTACACAAGGGTTAATTTTAATACATGGATTTATCCTAAAAATGTTGAATCAATGATTACAATTGTAAGCAAATGATTACTTTGCATGTGGCAATGACTCAATGATAATTCAAATACGACACAAATACAGTGAAATAGGATTATAACGAACCTGCGGATATAACGCAATGTTTTTGTCACGGTTACTTTCTGTATATTTAAGTCGAACTTCGAATTTTAATTACGGTTATTTCGAACTTGGATTTCGTTACAAGCGTAGTTGACCTTTAATCCGAAATCTTGCGGCATCCAAACATAGGAAAACCCAGTTGGTAGAAGCAACATGCGAACATCTGTGACCCATTATCATAGTTATCCATTTTTCTGATCGTAACATAATATCGGATATTACATGTGATTTTAGCGTTTTTGCCTGTGCGTGGACAACTAATTTAAAATTCAATTTGAGTGAATACTGACCATACGAGGGACATACATTGGAACGTGATTGTATCAGACTTGCTGGATGTGAGTTGACGATGTGCTTGCATTGCAAATAAATTCAAAGTTGTGTACTGGTTGTGTGTTGATTGTTTTGGTTGAGTGTTGGCATTGCATTAATTGTGTTTTGATTGTGTTTTGATTGTGTTATGATCGTGTGTTGATTGTGTTTTGATTGTGTTTTGAGTGTGTTTTGATCGTGTGTTGATTGTGTGTTGATTGTGTGGTGGCTGTGTGTTGTGTGTTTTTTCTGTGCTGATTATGTTTTTGGCTGTGTGTTGTAGACAGTCAGACAGACAGACCGATTATGTATTAGAGTCTGACCTCATTGACACAAAATAATACAGCATAATATACAGTAAATACATGAGACACACGAGAGAGACTGTTTGTCTAGGAACTGTACAATATTTCCATCCGTTTGTCTAAAAAAAGTTTACATGTTTTGGCACATAAAATGGCTATCACAGTGCAAGATTAAATGAAACTAGTTTTAGTGATCAGCAGTGTTAAACTCCGACCACACTTCAGCACATCTCTGTAGTATAACTTATCGAACATCATTGTACAATTAAAACAAAGCAGGGAGGTTAACATATCGCCCAGTTTCTATCCTGATAGGAGCGAATCCACATCTAAACAGGGCTAACGCTCTTCTGTAAGATGTGGCCATAGGGGAAATGATGTATGTCTCAGCGCCGAACTCCGACTTGAATCTACTGTAAAGTACCTCCGGTACCTCGGGTACCTTGATGACATCAGATCGGTGTTATCCACTCGTTTTATACCGTTGTCAAGCAAGAGTGAAATACTGCATCACAGAACGGACTTATATACATCAACAGGGATTAAGTAATAACAACATGTAGGTCACGAATCAAGGGGAATCCGTTTTTACAGTCAGAGTTTTTGAAGTGAGGTGAGGTGAAATTGGGTTTAACGTCGTGCTTGAGAATATTTCGCTCATATGACGACGTGCATGCGTGTGTATGGGTATGTACGGCTGCTTGTACTAGCCCAGACTTAAGCTGGTTTTATAGTGCTAGCCCACTGAGATACCATGCCGCAGTGAAGCATGAATACCCCACTCAGACACATTATACTGACTCCGAGCCGACCAGTCCTTGTTGTACCCATTAATGC